CACACAGCCTCTTCCCAATATGCGTTTTTGCAATTTACATATATGCAAAAACGCATAAAAATGAATAAAATTTACGATGATTTATGCTGACGAGCGCAAAAGATAAGCGTAAAGCAGCAACCATTCGTACAGTTACTGAATTGTTTACTTCGAGTTTAATGCAAATACGCAGTGGCAATGCTGGTACGTTGTAGCCCAGGGTTGTTGCATATTTATACAAATGCAAAAAAGCATATTGACAAGAGGTTGTCTGTGTGTGTCCGTGTATTTTCATTCTGTTCACATTCATCTACTTATAACTAATTATATTTGAAATCTTGCAAACTGATATCAGTGTATTATTTTCAGGAAAAGCTTACAAGTTCGCTATCACTGCTCATCATTTCCTGGAGTGCCCGCATCGATAGTGCATTGTCAATGTAAAGCATACACATTGCTATGTCCGGTGGCAGATCCTGCAAATTTTTTGGTTTCCTTGATAGCAAAAGCAATTATTTTTGCGATATTTCAATAATTTCTCGTCCCTCCCTCTGCTCCTCCTCCTCCTTCTCCTTCTCCTCGCCCTCTTTCTCTTCCTTTTTCCTTCTCCTCCTCCCGCTCTGACGTTGTTTCCGCTTTTGGCTATTAAAATTAACTGGCGGGCATTGTATTGTGGAAAATAGATACTACTGTCGTACTGAAGATCGAGGATACAACTCCATCAGCGAGACAATCAATTCTCCTACAATTCGTTAATTCGCTTCTACGGTAAATTGGTACTGAAATCTATAATCAAAACCATTAGCAGTTTTCGTCTAAACAACCCTTGAAAGAGTCGAACGAAAAAGCTATCCCAGCCAACTGATGGTTGCTGTTGACATGATTCGAGTGTATCCGCGCTTTCATAAAGAGCAGGATATGGAGGAATTTTGACGCTCGATATATAAACTGAGACACATGGTTGTTGTGTGTCTGCAAATCGTTTAACCTGCTGGTGGGCGTGGCGCGATGACAAGTAATAAGATGACCACTAGGGTGAAATGACCACTCGGGTTGGTAAAGATGGCTGGAAAAGCCTGTTTTTTAATTTGCAGATAATGCTCGTGGTAAGTTTTAATAAATACCCTATCAGAAACATTCTCCAGGGCACACATCCGATTACCGAAACCTTCGGTGCATAGACAAACTCGTTCAGAACCGAGTACACCTTCACGATTTGCCGCAGCCATACAGGTCATCGCGACGATATCACCCTGAAAAAACAGCTCGTCGTTAAACACAGGTATAGGGAAATCACTTTTAATTATTGTTTTGTTTTTTTATACTTTATGCAGTTGTTTCTTCATCTCGTTTCTTCTCCCTACTAATGCAGCTGGCAGTTTCTCCATTCTTCTCTGTTTTGCACCTTAATCATTCCACAGTCTTTTCTCTGTTTAATTAATCTGCTAAACCAGAAAAAGTCGAAATTTTTGTTGGAAAAAAAACAGACATACAAGCCGGAAATTTAATTTATTCTGGCAATCCTGCTGTGATAATCCTCGGGATTAATTCCACACCGAGACAGGCAATCTGCCTACGATTCGTTTCAAACAGTAAATATTAAATAGGTACTAGCGCATTCCAAGAAGATCAGACCCGCATTAGTCTGTTTTTAAATAATCACCAAAAAAGAGCGCCGTGGTTTTGCTAGCGAGCGATTGCTATTAACAAAATGGGCCAATCAGAACATTTTTTTAAATTACAATCAAGCCAAAACCGAAACAAATGAGCCTGACGAAGAAAATATTTGATAAGACTGAAATTTTCAGGACAAAAAATTATAAAGGCTAATACCAGGACCACTCGGGCAGTCAGTATAGGTATACCATGTTAGTGATGTTGCTCTCATATGCCAGGTACAACTTAGCCAGGCTCTTCCATCCTGGGCCACATACCCTTAGATAGCACCCGCGGTTGATTAATTAATTGTGCCAACTTTTCGGGGACCGTCCAAATTTTTGTTTACTTTCTCGTAGATACCTTTCACGCATTAAAAAAATATGAAATTCACAGAAGTGAGATTAATTTCCTTCGTTTTCTATCAAAATTTTACAAGATTTGTACTGCAAAATACCGTTCGCAAGAACGAGATATCGTCTTGTTCCCCGTCGCCGGTTTCTTCTTTGTCCGTCATTTTGTGTCTTTTTTAATACATCCGACAATTTCCTAAAAAAACCAAATTTCGACACGGTTTTCTTGAAAATATAAAGACTTGATATGTTATTATTCAGTGTAATTAAGCAAAAAAAAAAAAAATTACAGCCTCAGTTACGACACTATTTAAGAACAGGAAAAGTAAAGGATACAATAACCTTTGACTGTTTTTTCGACGAAAAATTCTTCTAAATTTCCATCGCGGTATTATAAAGGATGCGGCCAGCAGTGCTGAAAGCTATTTTTTAGATTAATATCAACTGAAGTGATTTTGCAGCGAATCAAACTTTACGCAGCTGCACCTTGGCTGAGTTCCAATAAAACTGCTAACATAGGGCACTCAAGCCGTGAAGAATAAGTATATCCACAAGTTATTGAATCTATTGGTTAAACACATTTTGAACTTAAAAGCGATTCAACGCGCAATCAGTGTCTGTTGTATGGCACCTTAGTACCCCCTTAAAGATTATGTGATACCCAAACATGAGGTGAAAGGCGAATTTAAATTTATGAAGCCGTACATTGGTAGAAAAAACCTAAAATTCAGCTTCACAATTTCCCTAGTCCTCGAGCTAGAAAATTTCCCATG